TTGATGCCTTTGAGCTGTGGTGCTGGAGAAGAGTACTGAATGTACCATGGACTGCCAGGAAAACAAACAGATTCATCTTGGAGAGGATTAAACCAAGCTCCTCCTTGGAGGCAAGGATTCTGGGGCTTCGTCTGACATACTTTGGACATGTTGCCAGGAGGGACCAGTCCTTGACGAAGGACGTCATGCTTGGGAGGGTGAGAAGACAGCATAATAGAGACAATGAGCTTGGCACAGGACAGTGCCGGGTTTAGGGTTGTTGTACATACGGTCCCTATGAGTCACAGGCAACTCGACGGCACATAACAATTTGCACAGGAGGATATTGTCCATCTTTCTACCTCCACATAAAGAGCACAGCCTAGGAAATGCTATGGGGGTGTTTTACTCTACTCTGTGCTGTAGTTTTGCTGTGAATTCTAATTTGTTTGAAGGTATAACACAATAGTAACATAGCCTAACCAAGCTGATGTAGAAAACAAATCATTGCAGCTGCTAATGAAAAGAATACTGAGTGTGTGGGAGGAAGAATCTGATGAAGGGAGGAAGGCTTGAGACAAGCCATTAACTTTGTTAGATTTTTGAGGAGTCATATCAGCTTTTAAAACAACCAAAATCTCAGCTTCTGGGAGGAAGGAATAGAAAATTAATAGATTGGCAATGAACACTTTATTAGAATGAGTGAAGGGAAGGCCATTGTGGAATGAATGGACAAACATTGCATGAACAGTAACTAATGTTATAAAACAAAAATGCATAATTGAAAAAAACTATGATATGACTTGTAAACAATGCTAAAACCAAATTTATCCTTTACATGTAAAACATCCATTCAACAATAAAATAACAGGATTTCATGAAATTCAAAATACTAGTTTAAGATTCTTTGCATTTTAAACAACTTGCTTGTAAAACAAGACTGTTCAGTGGTTCTGCATTACTTAGAGTTGTGCGCTGTCAAGTCTCAAGTTGGATCCATTGCTGACTCTCCAGCAGGTTTTTAGAGGTAGTAAATTACACAGGAGGAGAGTGCACACCCTTCTCTTCTTCTGCAAAGCAGCTGGTGGATTTGAACCACATGCTTTTGGGTGTAGCAGTGCAACATCTTACCACTAGGCCACCAGAGCTCCATAGAGTCATTGTTATGTTCCATCAAGTTGACTAGGATTCATAGCAACCTTATGCATAATAGTTCTGAACTCTGCTCTATCCTACGCCAATCTTTCTCTGGTACATCTACCCCCATAATCCCAGTTACTGTGTCAATTCCTCTCCTCCAGGGTCTTTCTCTCTTGTGCTGTTCCTCTGCCCTTCCAAGCAAGATGTCTGTCTCCAAGGACTGGGCCCTCCTGGCAACATATTCAAAGTATGTGAGAATGAGCCTTAAAATCTTTGTCTCCAAGGAGCAGTTTGGTTTCACTCTCTCTAGGACAGATCTGTTTTCAATTGGCAGTCCATGATATGTTCAATATTCTTCTTCAGCACCACAACTCAAAGACATCAATTCTTCTTCTAGCATCTTTGGTCATTGTCTAGCTCTCAGATGTATACCAACTAATTACAAAGACCATGGCCTAGATCAGGCACTCCTTAGTCTCTAGAATGACTTTGTTGCTCTCAGAATTCTGGAGAAAGCTCAGGAGATTTTCCTAATGCATTTCATCTTTTGATTTCCTGACTGCTGGAGCAAGATGAAATTGTTAGGAATCTCAGTCTCAAGAAATTGTACTACATGCACACAGTAGAACACTAATGCAGCATAAAGGAGCAATGATTTTTTAAATTACTACCTAACTTGGGAGGGACTGGAGAGCATTATGCTGAGTAAACTAACTCAATCCCATAAGGACAAATACTACATAGGACCATTACTGTAAAACAAATAAGAGGATCCAAGAGGGGGGAGAGTGGAAGCTGAGAGGTGAGGATGGGCATAGAGGGGGGCTGCTTAATCATAGAGTCACACAATTTGATGGGTGAAGGGGGAGTGTGAAGGAAATGGGAAGGATCTGGTGGGAAAAACATCAGAACTTTGTATTCAGGCTTTGTAAATAAACCAGTCTAAATTTGTTTGGGTTTGTTTTTTTTTAAAAAAAAAAAAAACCAACATAATCATGCTAAAAAAATTCTCAATCTCTTCTCCTCTATCATGATGATGCCCATTAGCACAGTGGTGAGAATCTGTTATCTTGATGTTGAGCTTCAATCTATATTGAAGACTATAATCCTTGACTTTCTGCAGGAAATGCTTCAGGTCCTTCTCAGTTTCAGCAAGCAAGGTTGTGTTACTGCATAACTTGGACTGGTGATGAATCTTCCTCTGATCTTGATGCCACATTC